AAAAAAAAAAAAAAAAGAAACCTGTGAGTGAAAATATAAGGTTTATTAGTGTATGAAATACACGTATGATATTTTTTTAAATATTTTTTATAAATAATAATTTTGTGTTTAGTGAATATAAAATTAAGTATGTATTAATAAAAAGTTAACGTGAAAATATAATTAAAAAAGAAATTTAAAATATTTCTTTTGGAATTTTTCAGAGTTATATTTAAAAAATACAAGATCATGAATTAATTCAATATATTTTTCCTTATATGGAGTATCTAAAAATTTCATTTTTATTTAAATTTATAATCTTTTATATATTTTTTTTAAAAGCTTTCTTTTAAATATAAAAATTACATTAACTGTTAAGAATATTTTCAGAAAAAAAAAAAAAAAAAAAATTATTTACGCTCGAAACACTTTCTCAGACATAGAATAAAAAAAAGTTAGGAAGTGGTACATAACTTAAAAAATAAGAAATAGACATTTTTTCAGCTTATACAATATTTACATTCTATTAATGTATTTTTATATGTTCTATAAAAAATGTTATAAAAAAAAAAAAAAAATTAAGATTATAGTTAGAGAAATTTTTAAATGGCTTGGGAGAAAATGTATTTTTCTATTTGAAAAGTTTTTATTATTTTTTATTTAAGAATCACTACTTTTAGATAAAAAAGTTATGCTTTTAAATGAATAAAAATTATCTTTAAGAAATTAAATAAAATATGAGATAAATTATACAATATATTGATAATATAGTTTTGATTTTAACTACAATAATAAAAAAAAAAAAAAAAAAAACTTTCTAAAATATTACTTATTATAGTAAGTAGATGAAGCATAGATATAATTTAATATTAAAGAGGAGAGTTATAATTTAACAATCTCATATGTATTTTTTTTTATTAGAATTAAAAATAAAGTAAAAAAATGAATAAAATTCTAAAAAATGTTTTATGGATACTCTTTTTAAAACATATAAAAAATGTTAGTAGTTATTGCACAACTCAGATAAAAACATATGATTTTATTAGAATAAAAATGAACAAGAAATGTTGTAAATATAAATATTGTTCTGTAAAAAATAACTTACTTTTAAATAATAATATAGGAATAAATGTTAATGAAAAAGAAAACACAAATAGTTATAATGAACAAACAGAATATAACGATAAAAAGAAGTTGAAATTGGAAAAAAAAAAAAAAAAAAAAAAGAGAAAGACTAATGATGTTCTAAAGTGTAAAATGTGCAAAAAAATATTAAAACCAAGTAAATTGATATGCATAATATATACATACTTTGGAAAATTAGGAAAATATAATATTTATACTTTGTATCATATTTATTTATTTTTTTTTTTTTTTTATAGAAGTAAAATTTTGTATTTATTGTGGTACAAATGTGTCGGTACAAAAAATAAAATTAAAAAAGTACATAGAAGAAATATATTTACCAATAAGGTATAATTAAAAGAAAATGTATTAATTTAATTAGTTCAATTTATATATATGTTTTTACATGTATTAAATAAACAGAAAAGAAGAAGTAAGTGAAAATACATTTAGAGTTGAAAAGGGGTTTTGGAAGGACATACTAACAGTATATATAAAATTAAAATTAAATTTACTAAATATATCTTTTTGTTAATTTTTAAATTATTTTTTTGTTTTTATTTTTGCTTCTGTAGAAATTGGGGAAATATGAATTGGATGAATTAGGTCCTAATAATTGGGAGAGTTTCTTAAAGTATTATTTTTATTATAAGAATATTAAAATTATAAACAATATGTTAAATTACTTTCGTTTTTTTTTTTTTTTTTTTTTTCTTTAGGTATTTAAAAGGAAAAAATTGCTCACCAAGAACCTTAGCTCTTTATCAATCTACCTATCAAGTAATACAAGACATATTTAATATTACAAAATTATAAAATTATAAAATATTGTCTTTTTTTTTTTTCTTATTTATTAATGTTTTATATGATAGCAATCTTTGAAATATGCTTTATATCGTGATTACTTAAAAAGTATACATCATTTTCGTAAAATAAAGAAAAGCACTATACCAAGAAGAAAAATTACACCTTTATCTCCCAAGGAGGTATGTTAATACATAATTTTTTTTTGTATAAAAAATAAACATTTTATTTATATATAAATATAAGCTTATTTTAATATGTATTTATATATATTTTTATTATTATTATTTTTTTTATCATCTTATTTATATTTCAATACTTTTTGTTTTTTAGATTGAATTATTGTTAAAAAATAGTAGTGATATGCATAGAGCAATATTTGGATTATGCATAGGTAAATAAAATAACTTTTTTTTAAATAATTTATAAAAAAAAAAAAAAAAAAGTATATTTTAAATTAAATTAATTCATTTTAAAAATTAATTAGGTATTGGTTTACGCCCTTCTGAAGTTTTAAGAATTTTATGGGAAGATGTTAATTTTGAAAAAAAAGAAATTTTCATAAAAGGACAAAAAACCAAATATAGCAGCACTTCTATTCCTTTAACTAATTTTGCTTATATTGAATTAATTAAATGGTTATAATAATAAATATATTTATAATTATATTATTTTATTCATCACATATAATTTATATATATATATATATGACATAGGTGGGAAATAGAGAATAAACCTAAAAAAGGGTTATGCTTTTATTCTGAAACATTGAAAAATAAATTTAACTACACAGAAACAAAAACTCCATTAAGTAAATTTTTTTAAAAAATAATTTTAATAATATAAAAATTTATAAGTGCTTATATTATCTTTACAATCTTTTTTTATTATTTTCATAGAAACATTTAAAACTGCATTAAAGGGAGCAGCTAAAAGGTATAACAATGTTTACTTACATGTATCTGTACGAATAAAATATCTTTTTTTTTTTTCTTTTTTTTTTTTTTCAGAGCTGGATTAGAAATAAGTGAAGACGGAAAAAAAAGAAGAATTTTCCCATATTTATTAAGGTATTAAAAATAGTCTTAATAATATATATATATATATATATATATATATATGCATATACTTTTCTTTTAAAGGCACTCTTTTGCAACCATAGCTGCAACTTCAAATCCTCCAGTCCCATTACCAGTTGCTCAAGTATGAATTAATTCTATAATTCATTAAATTATATATATATTAATATGCATTTAATAATAAGTTATATATATATATAAATATATCTCTTTTCCTCAATATAAAATTTTTAAAGGCTATTATGAGACACTCATCATCAAAAATGTTATTAGATACATATACAAAAGCTGGTAATAATATAATTAGGGATGGTTTAGATAATTTTAAAATATAAATGTAATTTATATTAATATATATATATTTTTAATATTAACAATTTAAAATAAATATGTTCAATTAAAAACAAAAAAAATTTATATAAATTTTTTATATATGTAACACAAATTTTATCATTATTTTTTTTTTTTGTTGTTTTTTAATAATACTAAAAAAATCTTATTATTATTTATACTTTTTAATTTTGACATTCCAAAATTATTTTAAATTATTTTTTTTTTTTGTTGTTTTTTTATTAATTATATATTAATAATTTATTTTACAATATTTACTTATTCTTTTTTTTTTTTTTTTTTTTTTTTTTTTTTTGTATTATTCTCATATAATGATTATTGAACAAACTCTTTACAAACATTAATATCTTCATTTTTAACTTTTTCATTATTACTTTCATCTGTATTATTATTTTTATTGTCCATAAACTTTATTATCGTATTTTTATTCTCATATATATTTATGGAGTTTTTATTAACAACTTTAGTAGTTTCAAATATAGTTTGGTTTTCATTATAAGAGTCATCTAATATGTCATATTCATTTTCATTTTTATCATTAACATCATTATTTTTACTATTTTTAGCATCATAATTATCTTTTGTTTTTATAATTTTACAATGTGAATTATGGGTATCTTCAATTTTTATTCTATTTTTTTTTTCGTGATTATTATATATTTTATTATTTTCTTTTTTTTTATTTATCTGCTCATTACTATATTCATTTTTATTGTTTAAATTTGCTTCATTATTTTCTAAATCTGAATTTTTTTCATTATAATGAGTGTCTCTTTCATTTTCTTTTTCTTTTTCTTTTTGAAAAGTATTATCTTTATTTATGGTGTTATTTGTAATGCTAATATTCATGTTATAGTTATTAATTTTGTTATTTGAATTTATAATATCTTTCTTCAAATAATTTATATTTTCTATGTTGTTTATGGATTTATTTGTGTTATTTATTTCATGATTTTTATTTAAATTGCTAGAAGCATTATAATCATTCTTTATGTTATTTTTATTAATTCCTTTCTTTTCATTATATTCTTTTGATAAGTTAAAGAAAGAAGTACTAAGAACATTAGACGCTATATTAAAAATAGAATTCAATTTTTCTGTCTCCATTAATATATTATAAATATTACCTTTTGATGAAAGATCTTTTAATGTTTTTCCATTTCTACTTTCATTTTTACTATTGAGATGAGTTTTATTTTCATCTATATTTTTTTCTATGTTTTTATTTATGTTTTCACATATTATATGTTTATCATTTAAATCGATATCTACATTCTCATTTATTCTTTCACATAAAGTATCTTTATCATTCGTTATTTTATTATCATTTAAATCAATTCCTACATTTATATTTTTATCTTCATTTAAAGTATCTTTATCATTTATAGTTTTATTGTCATTTGTAATTTTATCATTATTTACAATTTTATTAACATTTGTAATTTTATCATCATTTATTAATTTATTGTTATTTATAATTTTAGTATCAATTATAATTTTATTATCACTCTTAATATTTTTATTTACATTATCATCATTACTTTTTATGTTTTCTTCATTATATCTTTTATAGTTTATATTTTCATTTTTCTCAATATAAGCATTATCTGAAATTTTAGAAGGATTTTGATTATTTTGATAATTTTGATTATTTTTATCATATATGTAAGTAGATCCACTTTTAACTTTATTTACCACATTTTTTATATGTTTCTGCAGATTATCATTCTCCTCATCTAATTTCTTATTTTTATTTTTAAAATATTCCATATCATCAGAAATTTGTATTAAAGAATTTTGAAGTTCTATTATCTTTATGACTAATTCTTCATTAGACATTTTTTCTAAATTAGCTTCATTTAATGGATACATTTTTATATTCTTCAAAATATATAGTATTAGTAATTTATATAAAAATATTATGATGAAAATAAAAAAAATTGTCTTAAAAATATTTCAATAAACAAAAAAAAAAAAAAAAAAAGAAAAAGATAATATAGTATTTTAATTTATATTTACGTTTATAAAAGGAATTGGGAACAAATATTAAAAAATATATGATGACATAAAAAAAATAATACATTAAAATGATAATTATTTATTTTCATTAATACAACAAATTTTTTAATTTAATACATATAAGAATAAATATACAACGAATATAAATAAAAAGAAAAATAAAATATGCAAAAAATTAATTTTAATATGTAATTATATGCTTATATACCATATGTTAATAAAGAATTGTAAAAATAAATATTTTAATATATAATTAAAAATATATATATATATGTGCATTTACATTAATCATTATATAAAAAGATGTATAAAATAAAAAAAAAAAAAAAAACATTTTAAAAGTTTAATAAAAAACAGTAAGTTTAATTTAACATTATTATTTTGTATATATATTTATAAAGATACAAATATATAAAACGAAAATGAAAAAATATAACTATTTCATTAGTTCAATTATGTATAACAAAAAAAAAAAAAAAAAAAAAAACAAATAAATAAATAAATAAAAATATATTATTTAACTAAAATGAATAACATAAAATGGACATTAAATTATTGAATAAAAAAATTTTTTTTCGATACTTGAATAAAAGATTCTACATAAATAAGGCTGAAGAAATCGTGAAAGAAAAAAGTTCAAATACGAGAAAAAATAAATTTAAAAATATATACATAGATTTTTCTCTAAATAAATATGTAAACATAAATAGTTTAAATGTTGAAAGATTTATTAAAACTCCAATTCATTATCAAAAATATAAAGAGTTAGTTGACACTATAAAATGTGTTAGTAATGTTAGATTACAAAATATACATTTAATAAGAAAAATAGTAAATTCTTTAGAACTTTATATTATAAATTATTTAAATAGTATAAATTATTTCAATGATTTAAAAGATTTTGAAGAAAATTTTTATGAAGTTGATAATGATAATGCTATAACCATTAATAGTGTAATAACTATTTTAGTAAGTCTCTATAAGTTGAAATATAGAAATGAAGAATTTTTAAAATTGTTAGAAAAATATATTTTCATTAATAAGAATAAGCTCAAAATATCTCAGATGCACCTAATATTGTATATATATTCGTATTTTAATAGGATAAATAAAACTTTTATAAATTCCATACTGTTAATGATCTTAAATAACATTAACTCATTAAACTCATATAATATACTAAATATTTTTACTTCTTTATTTTATTTAAATTGTAAAAATGAAAAAACATTATATATTTTAACTAACTATATTATTTCAAACAAATTGAACTTTGACATTAATATTATAATTTACATTCTAAATAATTTAAAAAAGCTAAATTATTCGAATACAAATCTTATGGAATACTTTCATGATCAAATAATTTTAAAACTAGATTTTTTAAATGTTGAAAAGAATGTACAATATGTTGACTCCTTTTTTTTAAAAAAGAATATTCAAAATATCATTGATAAAGAAAACGAGGAAATCAATATATATGAAAATGAAAATAAGGAATACAAAAATATACATAAGAATAACAGTGAAATAAAAAAATGTACAGTGAGTTATGATAAAAATACATTAAATAATTTAAATATTGGAGGATATAATCATAACTTTTCTGATAAAAATATAGATACATATGGTTCTTTGCATAACAAATATATTATTGAAAATAATTACGTAGATTATATATATGAATATTATAATAATAAAGATATTATTGATAAAAATAAAAGTAAAATAAATTTGTTAATGGAGGTTTTAATATATTATAAATATTATAAGGAGGACTTATTAAATGTTTTATATTCTCATTTGTTAAAAAATTTAAAGAAATACGATAAAGAAAATGTTTATCATATCCTTTCTAATATTTATGATTTTGAAATAGATCACTTAACATCTATTCATTCTTTAAATAAGAAGCTGTTATTAAATTTGTGTCATTATTATGTTCCATTTTATAATAAGTGTAACATAATTATCTTTTTATTTTTAAAATTAATTCTACAAAAACATAATTATTTCAACACTTTTGTTGATAAAATATTATTGCATAAAATAAACACAGACATTCTTAATCTAAGGAATAATGAGATTTTAAACTTATTAAATGAATTTAAAAATTCTAATATCAATAAATATCTATGTGATATTTCTTTAATTTATTTTGATTTTTTCAAATTACAACAAGTAACAACTTGCAAATCAAAAGAAAATAATAACTGTAACAATAAAAGTATTGATGTTGATAATAATGATGGTTTAATAAGAAGAATAAAAAATTCATCAGAAAATTTGTCTAATTATATAGAGGATAAATCATTTTGCAAAGAAAAAAAAATATACATATTTGAATTTAATGAAAAAAATAGATTAAATTCTTGTGATACGCAATTTTTATTACAGTTATTTTTCTTTTATATTGAAGCTAAATATTATGAAGGAATATTTTTATTTTTAAAAAATTTATTTTTTGATTTAAAAGATTTCAAAAGTTTTGATCCATTTTTATTTTACAAAATTAATAATTATTGTTTTGATTTAGAAAAAATCATGAATTTAGAAGAAATGAAAAAAATTACTATTTACAATAAATTTAATGCCTTACAATTCTTAAATATTTACGAATATTTTAAGAATTCATTTGATTCTTACGAGTATTTTATTTGTAAACAGGATGAATTAGTTAGTTGCAATCACAAAAGATCTATGTATTATTTTTATTTATACAATATAATTTCTATTAATGAAAATGATAATGATAATTTTGGTGAAAAAGAAAATAAAGATAGTTCAATCAATTTAATTAAAAGGGAAAATAAAAACGATTTTATCAATGATGAAAAAAAAGAATGTAATCAAATTATGAATAAATATGTGAAAACAAACTCACGAATAAATTATATTAGTTGTTATAACAAAATTTCTAATAAATATAAAGAATATAATCACAATCACAAAACTGAAGATAATGAAAGAAATAGTAGTATTGATATTACTTATAAGAATAAAAAATGTGATAATTTTTTAGAAAAAAATTCAAACCAAAAAAATTTTTTTAATTGCAATAACAAAGAAAATTTAAATACTAATAAATCGTTACAATTTGAAAGAAATACTTTTGAGACAAACATATATATTTATAACATTTTAAACAACGTTTACATATATACACCAGTTGATTTATTTGCAATTTACATTAATTATTATAATTCAAATAACTTTTTCTTTTTATTGGAAAATATTGTTTTTAAGATAAATTACATTAACACCAATTACTTGTCTTTAGTTCTTTCTAAAATTTTTACATTATTAAATAAGGAAAATTGTAATAAAACAAAAGAAAAATACATCCTATTTTTCAATTTTTTTCATGATTATTTATTAGGTGAAGAAAAGGATTTCAATGAATGTTCACACTTAATAAAAAATAAGGAAGAAATAAAAAATGATTATAATTTTAATAATAATGAAAAGAGAATGATTATTGATGTTATATATAAAAATTGTATTAGCAAATATGATGAGATAAAAACAAAAAAACGTATTGCATATATATTACATCATAACAATTATGTTAGTTATGCTAATAATGATATAATTTTTAATGAAACTTTTTTAAGTACATTTAATCAATTTATTTTAAAAAAAAAATATCATTTTACATGTTTATTATACAATATGACAAATGAAAGCTTATTTCTAATTTTGAAATCTTTAAGAATAAAAAAGAAAAATTCAAAGTATATGAATAGTATAGAAATAATAACAAATATATTTATATTAAGATACATTCATTGTATTTATTCTGACCAAACAGATAATATAAATTCATTAAAAAGAAATAATTCTAACCATATAAATAATTATGATGATGAAAAATTAAATATAAAAGATATAAAAAAATTATCTGTTAACTTAAGATTATCATTAAATAATGTAAATGGAAAAAAAGATGATAAACAAATAAATACTAATAATAAAAATATAAATAACACAGAAAAGAAAAATAGAAATTGTAATAAAAAAGAAGAATATGATAATACTACAGAATATAATAATAACATAGATAGTGAAAAAGAGTGTAAAAGTGAAGTGTCATCTTTTATAAAAAATTTTATTCAAATATATTATACAATTATAAAAATTAGATATTTTCACGAAATGCCCATAAACAAACATATAATTCGTGAGTTATGCATTAATATTAATTATGTTGATAATAATAAATTTTTAAGACTACTTTTTTATATATATAAGTATAAATTTGATGAAATAAAATATTTATTAATGCTACAAAAAAAATGTTTTTTATATAAAGATTTATATTACACTCATTCTAATTACAGAATTATAGAATTCCTTTGTAAAAAACTAAAAATTAATATAGATGAAAATATTAGAACTACACCAACTAAATTAACGTCATATGATTATGAAAAATAAATTTAATTATAAAAAAAGATAAATAAAAAGATATTTTAAAAAAAAATATAATTATTTTTTTCTTTTAAACTTGGGAAATTAGCATATCTGATTTTAATCTAATAATATTTAATCAAGAAGCTCATAGCTTCCATGATTGGAAAATTATTTCTTTTTCACATAAGTTTGTTTATATTACATATATGTCAATTTTTTAATTTTTATAATATTTTTAACTTATCATAAAACTAATATTTTTTTTTTTTTTTTAATTTTAATAAAAAGAAAAATCAAATTATTTCCTTTATATTTTTTTTTTTTTTTTTTTTAAAACACACATAAAATAAGAAGTTTTATTTTGTTATTGTAAATTAAAAAAAAAAAAAAAAAAAAAATATCTTTAAAATGTTCCAAATGCCTCTTTTTTTCTAAAATTTATAAATTCGTATATATATTTCAATTTAATTCTTTTTTTCTTTTTTTCATCTAATAGTATTAGAAATTTTATATATGTGTAAAATATATAATAAAAGAATATAACATCTATTTTATATTATAATAGAGTCTAATTTTTTTATTAAATACAAAAATATAAAACATATAAAAATATATATATTTTTATTATTTTTAAACTTTTTAATTTGTGTTTTTATTATTTTCTTAAGTTAATCATATATAAATATATATGACAAATAATAAATTTTTTAAAATATAATACACGAGATCTTTTCAAGTACCTCATTTTTTTTTCTTTTTTTTTTCTTATTTTAATTTTCTTTTGGATTATATTTTTAAAACACAGTCTTTAATAATAAATAAAATAGTTATAAAATCTTTAATATTTCTTTTTTATATACTTTATTAATTTTTTTTTTTTTTTTTTTTTTTTATACTTTTATATTGTCCTCTTATTATGTTAGGCATGAAAAAAATAACTTTAACACTCAACACACGCTTCATTTTTTACTTTTAATATTTACATTTATTATCTATTTTTATAATTTTATTGGATTTTCTTTTTTTTTTTTTTTTTTTTTTATTAACATATTTTGAGAAATAAGAATTGATTTTAATTATAATAATGGTACAGAATTAAAAATTTTTTTTTTTATTTTTTTTTATTTTTGAACCTTATTTTTTAAGAAATGAATAAAAATGGATATAATAATTTATTTATAGAAGATGTTATAAAAAGAGATATTGAGATAAAAAAAGATTTTATAAAAAATGTAATAAATTTTAACAGTAGAATTCCTTTAGTTAAATATGAAAGGGAAGGATGTGAAATGCACATTTGCTCAAGATACCTTTTTATAAACAATATTTTCATTAACGTAAAGAAAGAAGGTGATAAATTTAAAATAAATTTTGTAAATAATGATTGCAGCAAATTAAATGATAAAAATAAAACAGATAATGATATATTAAATGAAAATTTACTAAATTCTTTATTTTTTAAAAATAATAAAAATTTTGTTATTATTATAAGTGGGAGTTCAGGTTGTGGAAAAAGTACTTTAAGTTGCTTACTGGGATTTTTCTTAAAAATAAAAAGAATTTTATCTACAGATATTATAAGGGAAATATTAAGAATTTATGAAGTAAAAAATAATAAATTTCTTAGATTCTCAACTTATGAATCATGGAAATTAACAACATATGAAGAAGATGAAGATGAAGAGGAGGATGAAAGTGATAAAGAAGTAAATGATATGCATATAAGAGAAAAAATAAATTCGGAAAACAATAATCAAATAGAAAATGAAAATAACATAAAGAAAAAACTTAAAGAAAGATGTATTAAAAATTATTTAAAACAGTGTGAATTACTATTTAGTTATATAGATGATATAATTAATGATCACATTAAAAAAAATGAATCCTTAATAATAGAAGGAGTACATGTGAATTCAGATATAATAAACAAATTAACAAAAAAATATCCAAATAAAATTATTTATTTTTTAGTTTATATTTCTGACAGAGAGACAAGTATTCAAAGATTTTCAAATAGATGCAACGAATCTAATGATAAAGTAAATAAATATATTGAAAATTTTAGTTATATTAATGATATACAAACATATTTATTAGAAACATCAAAATTTTTATCTTCTACTATTAATTATATTGAAAATGTTAATATTAATAAATCTTTAGAGAAAGTTTTAAAAATTATATATTCTTTTGCTTGAACTTGTATAGAATTAAAAATAAAGTCTTTATAAAATGTACAAAAAACTTTTTCTTTTATCATTATTATGTTGAAATTTTATATTTGTTTAGATATAATCTTTTCATTTATTTTTTTTTAATGTTTTTTTTTTTTTTTTTTTTTTTTTTTTTTTTATTATTACCTTCGTTAATATATTAACCTATTTTTTTAAGTATTCCATTCTCTCTTATCTTTGATATTTTTTTTTATGTATTTTTGAATTAATGCATTTAATTGTAATTAGTTTACTATTAAAATTATTAATATATTTAATTAATATGAATAGGGAAAATAAAACTTTTTTTCACATTTCTACATTTTTTTTAAGTTTATTTTTTTTTTTATTATTTCAAAAACATCATAGCATACATTACGAAAGATTAATTTTTTTTTTTTTTTTTTTCCTATACTATAACAGAATTATTTGTGAAAAAAAAAAAAAATTATTTTTAGTGGTGTAATAAATTTTATTTAATAATTCTTTTTTCATAATAGAAATAAGAAAAAAGCATTACAAAATTTAAAAAAGAAATATATTACTTTTCTATTTTTTATCTATTTCTTATATAAAGATTTTTCTCAGCTTTTTTTAATGTGTTAGACTTATAGAATCTATAAAAACCTTTAATTGATACAATAAAAGATAGGAATACATGTGTTATTCTAGGAATAAAAATAAATATATATATATATATATATTTTTAAATAATTTGTATAACTATTTAATTTATTTTTTTGTATTTTTTTAATTTTAAATTATTTTCTTATTTAATTCTAAGATTTTTAATTTCTATCACTATCTTTTGGTTATCCTTAGATTTATTTTTAGTACTACTTAGTATCAATAATTGCTTTTTTTTTTTTTTTTTTTTTATTCATATATTTCTTTTAATGCTTGACAATTTATTATTTTTTTCATTCAAATCTTATTTAGTATATTTTTAAACTAATTTTCATTTTATTTTATATTTTTTTTTTTTTTTTTTTTTATTATTACACCATTTTTATAAATGTATTTTTTTTATATCTTTTAATTTCACTATTTTTTATTTTTTGATGGATAATTTTTTTTTTGTTCTTTATTATTAAATTCTTCTATTTTTTATTTT